GGGGATGACATGTCGATGTTTGGGATAAAATTTTTGGGGTTTTCTTGTGTGTGAATGTTTTAGTTTACCATGTGTGGGAAAAACAAAAGGGTCATTTATGATCTTTTGTTTTTAAAAAAGGTAAAGATCTTTGTCAGTGGGGACAACTAAAAAGAAGGAACCCAAAGGGATTGTTAACAAAACTAAAAATAATTGTGCCCATGTAACATGAGTGTGTATCTTTGTTTTTTTAATGTTTTGTTTAGTTTCTCTGTGGTAAGGGGGGTTTTTAAAAATTTTGGCCCATTTTGCACCTTTTTTTTATTGTTAAATTTTTTAGGTGTTAGTATTTTTGTTTTTGTGTATAAAAATTTAAAAATTTTCAAAAATTAAAAGGGGTGTTTCAAACCCAATTGGATTATACGGAATGTCTTTGTTTATAAAATTTTTATAATAACGTAAATAAGTGTGACAAATTTTTTGGATTATTTTTTCTTTTGTTTATAAGTACTGGTGTAGTTTTGGATATAATTTAAAACCCCCCTGTTGTACAGGTGTGGGGGTGTTTTTTTGGGTTTCTGGATGTTGGTGTGCGGTTGGGCACTTTGGAGGGGGAATCCAGCATTTAAGTTTTTAACGTGTTTTTCTTTGTATAAGTTTGTGCTGGGATAAGGAATTTTGAAGTTGTTTGTTTTTTTTATTTAATGGATTATGTTTCTTTGTTTTTGTAACCTAAATATAGCACAAATGTATGATGTGTATTGTGTTTTTTAAATAAAAAAAAAAAAAAAAAAAAAAAACTCTAATCGCGTTAAACCTTTCATTATGTAATCCTTCAATCCTACTCCTTAAGCCATCCACCTCACCTCGCACATCTTCCCTTCCCCCCCCCCCCCCGTCGTAAACAGCATTCAGCTGTCCCTCCAGGTAGTTTTGCAAACCATATCTCCACCGTGCCTGTTCCTTTCCACGTTTCCTAAAAAACTCTGCTATACCTGTCTTTGCCCGCATCTCCCACCAGTCAAGCAAATCCATCCCACCATCCCTACCCTCCCAGCAATGTCTCCACCATTCCTCAAAGGATGAGCCCTCATCCCCCTCCTGCAGAAGCCTCACATTCAGTTTCCAATACCCAGCATATATGCGTACTATACCATCCACCCGCAGATCAGCTATCACCGCCCTGTGATCCGAAAAACCGACATCAAAAGCCCTCACTCTCTCCACACCAATCCCCTGCATCACATATATCCTATCTAACCTCGCCCCATAATTCCCACGAATGAACGTGTGCTCCACCCCATACTCCCCCCTACCCACCACATCTACAACTCCTACATCCCTTAACACATCCCTTAGCGTACCCAAAACACATCCTGCCCCCCTCGGCGACACATCATCATACCTAATCACACAGTTCCAATCACCTCCAATTACAGTTATGGAAGGTAAACCCCGCAAATAATACAGTAAAACATCACGAACAAAATCAACTTTGACTCCAACATTGTTACATGCCGGCATATATACACTAATGAAACATACTCTCCTCACCCCCCACCCTGCCTCGGTGGGAGACGGCCGACTTGTTGAAAAAAAAAAAAAAATCTTCAGGTTACGATGTGACGACCAGTGTCAAGCTTAGAACTTTGTGATATATTCCTTATGCCAGGGAGTTACTCAGTGAAAGTGTTAATTCTCAATATATGTACTTACACACAAGTAATGTTACTATTGAGGAAGCAGTAATATTCCTCTGATCATTATCAAGTGTAGTGACCATATTGACAGTCACCAGAGGAGGTCTATGATGTACATTCTATTTAAGAATTTTCTTGTGTGAAGGAAAGTTTCTGACAGTGATATTTAATAGATATTTATGAATATCTAAAGTATTTAAACTTTTAAATAAAAAGAAACTTGAAAAGACTGAGTAACTATTATTTGTGCCTTACATTTCTAAGTTTGGAACCATATCCTCTCATTCTGTGAAGTGTGTTGTTACGGAGTGCACTAACCTGGCTAAAGATTAAGATTCGAACCATAACAAAGAGGTATGATAAAGCTCACGGAACAGGGAGGGAGTAAACTAGTAGGGATATACAGGCTGGAATAACAGAAACATACTCCGGTGGATCAAAGTGTATCTTAGGTGAAAGAAGTAAAGAGTGACCTGTCAGGAAAGAGACGTGAGAATGGTAACTAGCGGAGTTCCGCAGGGGACCCCACTAGTTACTCTTATGTGAATGGTATTCCAGATGGAATTCATTCAAACGTATCCCTGGTTGCTTGAATTCAATCCCAGCAAATGCAACTTAATAAAGGTAGGAGAAGGAACAAGAAGACTGGAACTTGGATATTAGATTAGAGAGACAGAGGCTGCAGACTTGACACAGCGAGAAAGACCTACGGGTGAACATAGTGCCCAGTATAACGCCAAAGGCTTACATCAGGCAAGTAACCTCTGCAGTCAATGTTCCTTAAGCAAATCTAAGAGTATCCCTCAGGAAACTTAAAAAGACATTCTGAGCCCTTTATACAACATATGTTAGGCCCATCTTGGAGTATGCAGCACCAGTACGGAAGTCGCACCTGAAAATACATGCTAATAAACCAGAGGAAGTGCAGAAGTATACAGTGAGGTTTTTTCCTGAGGTAAGGGGTATAAGCTACGAGGAGAAGCTAACGGAATTGGACCTAACGACGTTGGAGAACAGAATAACCAGGGCAGACATGATAGCAACATACAAAATACTAAGGGAATTAATACGGTAGAAAGGGGCAGACTGAGAGGTGAGCAACGGGAACTCGGGGACACAGCTGGAAGTTAAGATACAGCTGAGAGGGATCTGGACAGGCTGCAGGCCTGGTCCAGCAACTGGCCCCTGGAGTTCAACCCCACCAAATGCAAAGTCATGAAGATTAGGGAAGGGCAAAGAAGACCGCATACGGAGTACAGTCTAGGAAAGGGATCTTGTGAGTTTTAACACCGGGCACATCTGAGGCCCGGCTGAGCATGGCGAACCTGGAAATGACTGACGTGCAGCAGTGATGGTGGAGCGACCTTACCAACACCTACAACTCTAGGAATGAGTAATATCCGAGCATTGAAGAGAGGATAATGCTTCTTATTGACTCTGTATTTGACCGTGTACGTTAGGTCCATATATGGTAGATATACGCAGAATCAGTTTGGAACCACTCACCTGAGCCAAGCATGTAATGGAAGCTAGACAATAGTGCAAAAGTTTGCACAAGGAGAGTAATGGGAAATCGACCTGACTTACACTGCGAAGATAGGGGAAAGAGGGGGATATTGATAACGACATATAAAATACTGAGAGGAATCAACAAGGTGGACAGAGGCAGGATATTCCTATGATGGGACACAGCAACAAGGAGTCACAGTTGGAAATTGAAGACTCGGATGAATCAAAAGGATGTTAAGAAGTATTTCTTCAGTCAGAGTTGTCAGGAAGTGGAATAGTCTGGGAATTGATGTAGTGGAGGCAGGATCCATACATAGCTTTAAGAAGAGGTGTGATAAAACTCTTGAAGCAGGAAGAGTGACCTAATAACGACCAGTGAAGAGGCGGGCGCAGAAGCAGCTGTGATTCGACCCCTGCAACCACAACTAGGCGAGTACAGGTCGTCGACAACTTGACGCCTCACACTAAAGCACCACGAGTGGGTAACATTTTCTGTGACGTGTTTAGTCCTCTCATTAACAGAACATGATAAACCACACTAACACCGAGGCTACGACAGTAAGCCTATCATCACATTGTGGTGGGGGGGGGATAGTAGTTGCTTGTTGGTAATGTTGGTTGTTTGTAGGTGGTGGTGGTTGATGGGTGGTTGTTTGTTGGTGATGTTAGTGGTGTGGTGTGTGCAGATGGTGGTGGTTACATGTGGGTGAGAGTTGGTTGTTTATGTGGGTGACGAACTGTTTGTTTACTATCTTCTCTGGGATAAAATTTCCCTTGTGTCTTGGACTCCCCTTTGGTCTACTCCCATGAAATATAATACGGAAAATGCCACATGTTCCCGTTGTGTCTACCATCAGTTATTGATCGTTAGAATAGATAAAAATAGAATAGATAAATATACACAGGGAACTTTTATTTAGACAAGGTTCACTGACCTGATAAGCTCTGCTCAGTCAAGGCTTCATCAGGCTGTTCCTTGATGAAGAATCATGTGCAACATCTGGGTATCCTTTTTTTGGACGTCTCCTCATAGGCTTCAGTACTGCAAGATGAGGACTTAGACACATGTGCAACATCTGGCTATCTTTATTGTGGACGTCTCGCCATCCAGTGGCATTATCAATACCAATTCAAGACAGTAGAACTATATACAAAAGATGAAGTAATCAGTCCCTCAACCTCAGTGTTGGTGAAGATCACCGTAGTCTTGAAGAGTCTGCAGTACAGGCATGAAGACTGGAGCTTGTGTAAGTGCCAGTCTTCATGCCTGTGCTGCAGACTCTTCAAGACTACGGTGATCTTCACCAACACTGAGGTTGAGGGACTGATTACCTCATCTTTTGTATATAGTTCTACTGTCTTGAACTGGTATTGATAATGCCACTGGATGGCGAGACGTCCACAATAAAGTTAGCCAGATGTTGCACATGTGTCTAAGTCTTCATCATGCAGTACTGTATACCATACATGTGCAGGCTGTACTTTACTGGCTGAGCCTCGCTACCACTGAAGCCTATGAGGATGTAATTTAGCCTTCTCGTTAAGGTCGTAAACAAAATATCACGTGAGTAGCCACGCTGGTCTTGAAAACACTGCGGTACCGGCAAGTGTATTAAACTCATTATTTTACTAACTCGTTCATACACTCCAAAAAAATCATCGCTGATGATGGGAGCTGGAACACCTGAAAGACGGAAACAATGGCGACTGATATACCATTCGCAGTTGGTAGACGATGTAGTAATAGTGAATAATGAATAAGATAAGGTGCCAACAGTAGGTTGCTGGGGAAGACAATATGAGGCTTGGGAAGAGACAGGACCTCGTCAGAAGGCAGGTGGCCAGAGACGAGGTGGTACTAACCAAGGTGTGTGCGTGTGTGCACAAGCTGCGCCATAGCTCCTGGTTCAGCTGTTACCTCACAATGGCCACCTGGAACATGTTTTACTCGTGTTTCTTTGTGTTTATTATCTATTCACTGGCGGAAGGAAAGGGAACAAAATATATCCCTCCAGTTGTGTTAAGTAAGTATCGTATGTTTGTGTGTCCTCGTTATAATTTATCATTTTTTTTTTTTTTGAGATTGTATTCCTTACTGTCAGTGAACAACAACTATGAGGGATCTGCAGAATATGAAATGACTAATATTTCTTTTTAGAGATGTAACAACATTCAGTCACGTCTGGCAAAAACCCAGTGTGACCATACCACTCTCTGACCGCGGGTTCAAACCCCACCCGTGGTATAGTTTGTTTGCAATAGTGTCATTACGATTTCGTGAGTCAATCCAGTGTGACCTTTGTAATCTTGTTTTGTTTTGCACTAACGCTCACATGATGAGCTGTGCGTGCACAATAAACTAGCCATACCACGGGAGGGAATAGAACCCGCGATTAGTCATAAAACTCTAGACCAATACCCTAGCCACTGGGCCAGCTGACTACAACAAGATTCATCCAGCTAGGTATATTTATACACCATAGGAAGGTTAGCATGGGCACCACTGTGACCACAAATGCAAGTTTTTACAGATGAATCCCCAAAGATTCCTCTGTAATAACTTGCAATTGTGGTCACAGTGGTGCCTATGTTAACCTTCCTATGGTGTATAAATATACCTAGCTGGATGAATCTTGTCGTAGCCAGCTGGCCCAGTGGCTAGGGCGTCGGTCTGGAGTTTTACGGCTCTCTGATCAATGGTTCTATTCCCTCCCGTTGCATAGTTTGTTTGCAGTCGGTGTCATTACGATTTCGTGAGGCACAATAAACTAGCCGCTCAAGCGGCGCAACTAAATACCCAGTGTTACACTGTGTTTAGTGTCCACCAGGAACACAGACGGTAATGAATTACACACATGTGCAACACTTGGGTGACCTTAATATAAAGACGCTTCGCCAAACAGCGGCCTTTTCAACTCATTACAGAGATTACAAACTGGTGACAATGGAGGACAAAGAAATTAGTCTCAACCTTGACAGATGGTGTCAAGTCCCTTTGATTATCAAGGATAAGGAACTAAAACACCTTTTATCGAGACATGGTGAGGGACTGACTACCTCATCATCCAGTGTCTCCACTATGACACGAAATCGTAATAACACTATTGCAAGCCAATCGCAGGATGGATGGGGCCCGAACCCAGTGGCTGACCAGTAGCTAACACACTGGTCAGCCAGTTTTATGACTCTCCTTCCATGGATTTGAACCCCATGTTTTTTTGTGATTTGTCTTCAGCTCAACACTCTTCATTGATGAAAGTCTTGACAACACAGACACCCAGGTGTTGTATGTGTGTCTTAGTTATCAACTAATTCGTAATGCAGTAGTTAGTACTAATATTAATATTTATTTACTACAAGTACAAGGTATACAGGCATACTACTACATAGAAAGCCGCTTGTTACGCAGAGCATTCCTCGCAAATCAGGTTAATTTGTCCCAGGATGCGACCCACACCAGCCGACCAACACCCAGGTACCTATTTTACGGATAGGTGAACATGGACAGCAGGTGTCTTAAGGAAACACATCCTAATCTTTCCACCCGTACCGGGGATCGACCCCCCCGGACCTCAGTGTGAGAGCTGAGTGCACTAGCGCTCGAGCAGAAATAAAAAATATCATAAATGTGAAATTAAGATTACAATTATCTTCAGCGATTGGAAAGCTTATGGATTTTACAGTTCAGATAAGAAGCTTTGACTTAACTGATAAACGTGATCATTGTCGTTTAGATTTGATCACGAAAAACATTAGTTATATGGTATATCACATAGTAACTACCAAATCTGTACCTGGACCAGTGGTCAAGCTTTCTAACACCCGCTACATCTGTACCTGGACCAGTGGTCAAGCTTTCTAACACCCGCTACATCTGTACCTGGACCAGTGGTCAAGCTTTCTAACACCCGCTACATCTGTACCTGGACCAGTGGTCAAGCTTTCTAACACCCGCTACATCTGTACCTGGACCAGTGGTCAAGCTTTCTAACACCCACTGCCACTACATCTGTACCTGGACCAGTGGTCAAGCTTTCTAACACCCACTGCCACTACATCTGTACCTGGACCAGTGGTTAAGCTTTCTAACACCCACTGCCACTACATCTGTACCTGGACCAGTGGTCAAGCTTTCTAACACCCGCTGCCACTACATCTGTACCTGGACCAGTGGTCAAGCTTTCTAACACCCACTACATCTGTACCTGGACCAGTGGTCAAGCTTTCTAACACCCACTACATCTGTACCTGGACCAGTGGTCAAGCTTTCTAAAACCCACTACATCTGTACATGGACCAGTGGTCAAGCTTTCTAACACCCACTACATCTGTACCTGGACCAGTGGTCAAGCTTTCTAAACCCACTACATCTGTACCTGGATCAGTGGTCAAGCTTTCTAACACCCACTACATCTGTACCTGGACCAGTGGTCAAGCTTTCTAACACCCACTACATCTGTACCTGGACCAGTGGTCAAGCTTTCTAACACCCACTGCCACTACATCTGTACCTGGACCAGTGGTTAAGCTTTCTAACACCCACTGCCACTACATCTGTACCTGGACCAGTGGTTAAGCTTTCTAACACCCACTGCCACTACATCTGTACCTGGACCAGAGGTCAAGCTTTCTAACACCCACTACATCTGTACCTGGACCAGTGGTCAAGCTTTCTAACACCCGCTGCCACTACATCTGTACCTGGACCAGTGGTTAAGCTTTCTTACACCCACTACATCTGTACCTGGACAAGTGGTCAAGCTTTCTAACACCCAATACATCTGTACCTGGACCAGTGGTTAAACTTTCTAACACCCACTACATCTGTACCTGGACCAGTGGTCAAGCTTTCTAACACCCACTACATCTGTACCTGGACCAGTGGTCAAGCTTTCTAACACCCACTACATCTGTACCTGGACCAGTGGTCAAGCTTTCTAACACCCACTACATCTGTACCTGGACCAGTGGTTAAGCTTTCTAACACCCACTACATCTGTACCTGGACCAGTGGTCAAGCTTTCTAACACCCACTGCCACTACATCTGTACCTGGACTAGTGGTCAAGCTTTCTAACACCCGCTGATACTACATCTGTACCTGGACCAGTGGTCAAGCTTTCTAACACCCGCTGAAACTACATCTGTACCTGGACCAGTGGTTAAGCTTTCTAACACCCACTACATCTGTACCTGGACTACTGGTCAAGCTTTCTAACACCCGCTGATACATCTGCACCTGGACCAGTGGTCAAGCTTTCTAACACCCACTGCCACTACATCTGTACCAGGACCAGTGGTTAAGCTTTCTAACACCCGCTGCCACTACATCTGTACCTGGACCAGTGGTCAAGCTTTCTAACACCCACTACATCTGTACCTGGACCAGTGGTCAAGCTTTCTAACACCCGCTGCCACTACATCCGTACCTGGACCAGTGGTCAAGCTTTCTAACACCCACTACATCTGTACCTGGACCAGTGGTCAAGCTTTCTAACACCCGCTGCCACTACATCTGTACCTTGACCAGTGGTCAAGCTTCCTAACACCCACTACATCTGTACCTGGACCAGTTGTCAAGCTTTCTAACACCCGCTGCCACTACATCTGTACCTGGACCAGTGGTCAAGCTTTCTAACACCTTTCTACATACGCTGGACACTGCATATATTACATTTACATACGCTGGACACTGCGTATTTGCTGCTTTCGGCACAACGAGGTGCTGTCATCAGTAGGGAACAATCTTTCTTGTATCCACACAAAGTTTAATAGGTGTATTTTGCACCCAGCACCCAGCCTGTGGGCAGTAGTCACCCCATGCCCAGCCTGTGGGCGGTAGTCACCTCACACCCAGGCTGTGGGCGGTAGGGTCACACCACACCCAGGCTGTGGGCGGTGGTCACCCCACACCCAGCCTGTGGGCGGTGGTCACCCCACACCCAGCCTGCGGGCGGCAGCCACCCCACACCCAGCCCGTAGGGGGTGGTCACCCCACGCCCTGCCTGTGGGCGGTAGTCGCCCCACATCCAACCTGTGGGCGGTAGTCACCCCACGCCCAGCCTGTGGGCGGTAGTCATCCCACGCCCAGCCTGTGAGCGGTAGCCACCCCACGCCCAACCTGTGGGCGGTAGTCACTCCATGACAAGCCTGTGGGCGGTAACCACCTCACGCCCAGCCTGTGGGCGGTAGCCACCCCACGCCCAGCTTGTGGGCGGTAGTCACCCAATACCCATCCTGTGGGTTGGTAGTCACCCAATACCCATCCTATGGGTTGGTAGTCACCCCATACCCATCCTGTGGGTTGGTAGTCACCCCATACCCATCCTGTGGGTTGGTAGTCACCTCATACCCATCCTGCGGATTGGTAGTCAACCCATACCCATCCTGCAGATTAGTAGTCACCCCATACCCATCCTGCGGATTGGTAGTCACCCCATACCCATCCTGCGGATTGGTAGTCACCCCATACCCATCCTGCGGATTGGTAGTCACCCCATACCCATCCTGCGGATTGGTAGTCACCCCATACCCATCCTGTGGGTTGGTAGTCACCCATACCCATCCTGTGGGTTGGTAGTCACCCCATACCCATCCTGTGGGTTGGTAGTCACCCCATATCCATCCTGTGGGTTGGTAGCCACCACATACCCATCCTGTGGGTTGGTAGTCATCCCATACCCATCCTGTGAGTTGGTAGTCACCCCATACCCATCCTGTGGATTGGTAGCCACCACATACCCATCCTGTGGGTTGGTAGACACCACATACCCATCCTGTGGGTTGGTAGTCCCCCCATACCCATCCTGTGGGTTGGTAGTCAATACGGTCACTGTGATGGGTAAACAGATACAATCCATGTTTCTCATGAATTAAACTCACTTATCTCAGTGAGTAACATAATACGCCAGATTATGTGCCGTTCTCGAGGGCATATAAGGTCAGGTTCTGCGGTTATCTGGTAAGATAAGATAAGATTTTATTTGTATTTTTAACCCTGGTGGGTTAGCCACCCTGGGTATCCCAAGAAAGTCAGTACGTTATCAAGGGACGTCTTATTCAGGTGATCCTTAAACTTGTCCCAAGGTGCGACCTTCACCCTCAGAGCAACCGCAGTTACTAGGCTCTTGATCAAGGGAATTGAATCAGTGTAACGAAAGCAAGCCAGTGTTTTCCCCACCAGGGGATCAACTGGGCACTCGGTGTTTAGGCGACGCTCTTACTACAGTCACCAATGTGTGTGATGTGGTCATTCTGGGTCCCTGGATGTGGTCAGGTCTGGAGTCACCTGTGTACTCAGGTTCTAGGGTGACTGGGTAGTCAAAGGTTCTAGGGTCACCTGGTGTAGTCAGGTTCTGGTCACCTGGTGTAGTCAGGTTCTGGGGTCGCCTGTGTAGTCAGTTCTGGGGTCACCTGGTTGTAGGCAGGTCTTGGTCACCTGTGTATCAGGTTCTGGGTCGCCTGGTGTAGCAGTTCTGGGTCCCTTGGTTTGTCACGTTCTGGGGTCACCTGGTGTAGTCAGGTTCTGGGGTCACCTGGTGTAGTCAGGTTCTGGGGTCACCTGGTGTAGTCAGGTTCTGGGGTCACCTGGTGTAGTCAGGTTCTAGGGTCACCTGTGTAGTCAGGTTCTAGGGTCACCTGGTGTAGTCAGGTTCTAGGGTTACCTGGTGTAGTCAGGTTCTAGGGTCACCTGGTGTAGTCAGGTTCTAGGGTCACCTGGTGTAATCAGGTTCTAGGGTCACCTGGTGTAGTCAGGTTCTAGGGTCACCTGGTGTAGTCAGGTTCTAGGGGTCACCTGGTGTAAGTCAGGTTCTGGGGTCACCCTGGTGTAGTCAGGTTCTAGGGTCACCTGGTGTAGTCAGGTTCTAGGGTCACCTGGTGTAGTCAGGTTCTAGGGTCACCTGGTGTAGTCAGGTTCTAGGGTCACCTGGTGTAGTCAGGTTCTAGGGTCACCTGGTGTAGTCAGGTTCTAGGGTCACCTGGTGTAGTCAGGTTCTAGGGTCACCTGGTGTAGTCAGGTTCTAGGGTCACCTGGTGTAGTCAGGTTCTAGGGTCACCTGTGTAGTCAGGTTCTGGGTCACCTGTGTAGTCAGGTTCTGGGTCACCTGGGGTAGTCAGGTTCTAGGGTCACCTGGTGTAGTCAGGTTCTAGGTCACCTGGTGTAGTCAGGTTCTAGGGTCACCTGGTGTAGTCAGGTTCTAGGGTCACCTGGTGTAGTCAGGTTCTAGGGTCACCTGGTGTAGTCAGGTTCTAGGGTCACCTGGTGTAGTCAGGTTCTGAGGCGTCTACACTGGTGTAGTCAGGTTCTAGGGTCACCTGGTGTAGTCAGGTTCTAGGGTCACCTGGTGTAGTCAGGTTCTAGGGTTCACCTGGTGTAGTCAGGTTCTAGGGTCACCTGGTGTAGTCAGGTTCTAGGGTCACCTGGTGTAGTCAGGTTCTAGGGTCACCTGGTGTAGTCAGGTTCTAGGGTCACCTGGTGTAGTCAGGTTCTAGGGTCACCTGGTGTAGTCAGGTTCTAGGGTCACCTGGTGTAGTCAGGTTCTAGGGTCACCTGGTGTAGTCAGGTTCTAGGGTCACCTGGTGTAGTCAGGTTCTAGGGTCACCTGGTGTAGTCAGGTTCTAGGGTCACCTGGTGTAGTCAGGTTCTAGGGTCACCTGGTGTAGTCAGGTTCTAGGGTCACCTGGTGTAAGTCAGGTTCTAGGGTCACCTGGTGTAGTCAGGTTCTAGGGTCACCTGGTGTAGTCAGGTTCTAGGGTCACCTTGGTGTAGTCAGGTTCTAGGGTCACCTGGTGTAGTCAGGTTCTAGGGTCACCTGTGTGTAGTCAGGTTCTAGGGTCACCTGTGTAGTCAGGTTCTAGGGTCACCTGGTGTAGTCAGGTTCTAGGGTCACCTGGTGTAGTCAGGTTCTAGGGTCACCTGGTGTAGTCAGGTTCTAGGGTCACCTGGTGTAGTCAGGTTCTAGGGTCACCTGGTGTAGTCAGGTTCTAGGGTCACCTGGTGTAGTCAGGTTCTAGGGTCACCTGGTGTAGTCAGGTTCTAAGGGTCACCTGGTGTAGTCAGGTTCTAGGGTCACCTGGTGTAGTCAGGTTCTAGGGTCACCTGGTGTAGTCAGGTTCTAGGGTCACCTGGTGTAGTCAGGTTCTAGGGTCACTGGTGTAGTCAGGTTCTAGGGTCACCTGGTGTAGTCAGGTTCTAGGGTCACCTGGTGTAGTCAGGTTCTAGGGTCACCTGGTGTAGTCAGGTTCTAGGGTCACCTGGTGTAGTCAGGTTCTAGGTCACCTGGTGTATCAGGTTCTAGGGTCACCTGGTGTAGTCAGGTTCTAGGTCACCTGGTGTAGTCAGGTTCTAGGGTCACCTGGTGTAGTCAGGTTCTAGGGTCACCTGGCGCAGTCAGGTTCTAGGGTCACCTCGTGTAGTTAGGTTCTAAGGTCACCTGCTGTAGTTAGGTTCTAAGGTCACCTGCTGTAGTTAGGTTCTAAGGTCACCTGGTGTAGTTAGGTTCTAAGGTCACCTGGTGTATGTAGGTTCTAAGGTCACCTGGTGTAGTAGGTTCTAAGGGTCACCTGGTGTAGTTAGGTTCTAACGGTCACCTGGTGTATTAGGTTCTAAGGTCACCTGGTGTAGTAGGTTCTAAGGTCACCTGGTGTAGTTAGGTTCTAAGGGTCACCTGGTGTAGTTAGGTTCTAGGTCACCTGGTGTAGTCAGGTTCTAGAGGTCACCTGGTGTAGTCAGGTTCTAAGGTCACCTGGTGTTAGGTTCTAAGGTCACCTGGTGTAGTTAGGTTCTAAGGTCACCTGGTGTAGTTAGGTTCTAAGGTCACCTGGTGTAGTTAGGTTCTAAGGTCACCTGGTGTAGTTAGGTTCTAAGGTCACCTGGTGTAGTTAGGTTCTAAGGTCACCTGGTGTAGTTAGGTTCTAAGGTCACCTGCTGTAGTTAGGACTCAAGATAAGCTGTATTCAGTGTAAACAAGGGTCTTAATTATAGACTTAAACATAGACTTAATTTATAAGTAAATAGACAAGTCCTTTTTATTAATTAAGATTCATTTTTGTTAAGGAAAATATCTTATTATCACATTTTATTTAAAAAAAATTATTGTCGTATAGATTTGAGAAAGACCTGCCTGTTATGGGCCAGTGGGCCCTCTGCAGTGCTCGTCCATTCTTCTGGTTAGGTTAGGTAAGATTCATCAGGAAGCAGGACAAGTATTTCCCGACGCGGGTCTTATATGATGACCCGCCACTGGAGCCTTTGGTCATCTGACAGAGACCTTCAGCTGGCTTACCGGTACCCCCCTCCCCTTTTAAAATTAGGCCATTTCTTATGTATGAGGAATGTGTTATGTTGCAGTACCTGGTTGTGGAGGGTCACAGTTGGAGGCCAAGATTGACACACCTACCTCAGTACGCGTCGTCTGCAACAGTAAACCAATGAATGGTTCACTATGTGGCTTAACATCGACCTCATCATCCCTTCCTATATCGACTGCTTTGTAAGTTACTGCTTCTCTTTTTGACACTCTGTTTTATTTTGAATAACAGGACACAACACAGCGACTGGAATATACTAAATAACCCTCATTTTCGGTCCGACTTAGACCATTAGTCACACCTAATTATGGTGTTACTGGTTAATGGTGCAAGTCAGACCAAAACGTCGTCATATGTTTCATTCACTTATGTGTGGGTTGTTTGTGTATTGTTCCAGTCACGGTATTGGGCCTTTTCATTTCTTAAGACGACGTTTCGGTTGTTTGTACATTTTCTCACTTTACTCTGACGTATAAATGGTAGAATGTTAGTGATAATCGCCTCGTGTAAAGCTCTGGAAAAAATACTTGTATTAAATAACGTATGCTGCAGAACAAACTACGAGACTGGATTCAAACCTACTGCTATTGTCAATACTGAAGAAAAGACACACAAGCTTTCATTGTCAAGCTCTACACAGAGCGAAACGCTGCCCCAGTTGAAGCTTGTTCTGCAACGTGTGTTTTTTAACCGGTCTGGAGATTTATGACTCTCTGATCGCGGGTTCTAACCCCACCCGTTGTATGGTTTGATTTGTTAAGCTCTACTGAGTTTAATACTGGTCAAAATTTCCTGAAAACTTAAAACTTTTCAGCTAAAATATGCCTACATATAAGGTACTTCAAAAAAAATCGCCTACTTTCCGCAGAAAATTCAATTGCAGAAGCAGTTTTGATTAGAATTAACTGTATCAGCAAATGAATGAAATAGTTGAGATTAAGAAATGAAGCACCATCACCTAGACAGCAGAATGGAGTGTGAAACAGTAATGGAAGACAAAATATAAGGAGGGAGAGAGAGTATTAGGTGCAAACCACGAAGTGAGTGGGGCTTAAATCAATGACAATTATTTTATTACTATTTCGAAGGGGTAAAACAGGTGGAATTGATGGGATAAAGACAGAAATGTTAAAAGCATGTGAGAATATAGTGTTGGAGTGGTTAGTGCTTTTGTTTAATAAATGTATGGAAGAGGGGAAGGTACCTGGGGAATGGCAGAAAGGATACATAGTTCCTTTGTATAAAGACAAAGGGACAAAAGAGTGTAAAAATTATTGGGGAATAAGTCTGTTGAGTATACCTGGTAAAGTGTATGGTAGTTATTACTGAAAGAATTAAGAGTAAGATGGAGAGCAGGATTCCAGATGAACAAGGAGGCTTTAGGAAGGGTAGGGGGTGTGTAGACCAAGTGTTTACAGTGAAACATACAGGTGAACAGTATTTAGATAAGAGTAAAGAAGTTTTTTGTTGCATTTATGGATTTGGAAAAGGCGTATGATAGGGTGGATGGGGGGCAATTTGGCAAATTTTGTAAATGAATGGAATAGGTGGCAGGTTACTGAAGGCAGTAAAGAGTTTCTTTTCGAGGACAGTGAGGCTCAAGTTAGAGTATGTAGGAGAAAGGGAGATTATTTCCCAGTAAGAGTAGACATTAGATAGGAATGCGTGATGTCACCGTGGTTGTTCAATATATTTATAGATAGGGTTGTAAACAAAGTGAATGATCGGGTGTTGGCAAGAGGTGTGGGATTAAAAGATAAAGAATCTAACACAAAGTGGGAGTTGTCACAGATGCGTTTTTGCTGATGACACTGTTCTTTTTGGAGATTCTGAAGAGAGGTTGAAGAGGTTGGTGGAAGAGTTTGGTAGGATATATAAAAGAAGGAAATTAAAAGTGAACATAGGAAAAAGTAAGGTGATGAGGATAAAAAAAACTGGGAAATGAAAGACTGGATATTAGACTGGAGGGAAGGAGTATGGAGTAGGTGATTGTATTCAGATATTTGGGAGTGGACTTGTCAGCAGATGAGTCTATGAAGGACGAGATGAACCATAGAATTGATGAGGGGGAGAAAGGCGAGTGGTGCACTGAGTAGTCTGTGGAGACAACGTTATCTATATGAGTGAAGCATGGGTGATGAGTGTTGTAACAAGAAGGCTGGAGGCAGTGGAGATGTCGTGTCTGAGGGCAATGTGTGGTGTGAATATTATGCAGAGAATCCATAGTTTAGATATTAGAAAGAGGTGCGGAGTTACTAAAAGTATTATCCAGAGGACCGAGGAGGGGTTGTTGAGGTGGGTCAGACATTTAAAGAGGTGGAATGAAATGGAATGACTTACAGAGTTTATAAATCTGTAGTGAAAGGAGGGCAGGGTAGGAGTCGGCCCAGGAAAGGTTAGAGGAAGGAGGGGTAAAGGAAATTTTGTATGGAAGGGGCCTGGACTTACAGCAAGCATGCATGAGTATGTTAGATAAGAGTGATTGGAGACAAATTGATTTTATGACTTGACATGCTATTGGAGTGTGAGTAAAGTAACATTTATGAAGGGATTCAGGGAAACTGGTTAGCCGGACATGTGTCCTGGAGATGGGAAGTACAGTGTCTGCACTCTGCAGGGTGTTGATATATGCAGTTATTTAACTACAGGGTAGGCACTCATCTGACAAGATCGTGATGGAGTGAATGATGATGAAAGTGTTTCTTCTTTTTTCGGGTCACCCTGCCATGGTGGGAAACGGCCGATGTGTTGATAAAAAAGTTATATAACTGCTTTTTCAGAATCTTCTCAGCATCATTTTCAGAACTGGTGCCATTGAAAAATATTCTGGAATGTTTATAGTGTGTTTCTGTGACGTCCATCTTAGCTGCATTATCCGTGATCTTGTGAAGTTTGTTATGTTATTTAGCTGCATTGTCTCGAAGTTTGTGTATTCTTTTTCAAACACCCACAACTTTAACACAATGTGTTAATTCAGTGATTAGTTCAAAGTTTGTTTCAAAATTTGCATAAACTTTCTGTCGACCTGAATTGCGTGATGGTTCTCGTGTTTAGTCGGGAGCGACTAGCCTTTCTATTTTTTTTTTTTTTTTTTTTTTGAGTATTTATTCATACGTGAATTTAGGTCATGTTGACTGCATATGTTATTTCTACACAGATTAATTTATCTCCAGGTTGCACACATGAAACTGGAATATGACAACGTAACACGGACCACCAGAAACGCAGCTGGGGTGGAGACTAGAATCCCTGGCTTTGGTAACTCCTCAACAGTTGAGTGGTTGAACCCCGGGGATGTCTACTTGCTGGGGTACTTCAACAATCTTGTCAGTGGTATTCTTCCCTTGGGGTACGAAAGAGGCGTCACGCTCAGGGGAGCACCTTATGACTTCCGCAAGGCACCAAGTAAGTGTACTCGCATCGACAGCTATTTGACCAAGGAAAGACACACGAAATAGCGAGGTTTTACTAAATCAACGTTTCGTTCTGAGTAGAACTTTATCAAGTCACGGATCGCCTTGATACAGCTCTACAAAGAGAGAAACGTCGTCCCAACAAAACCTTAGTCCTAAACGTGTGTCTTCTTCACGATGATCTTCAGTGAGACACTTGGGACCGGGTGAAGCCAACGTTAAGGAAGATATAACACGGGGTAGAAAAAATCCGTATATCTCTGAGTCCATGAAAGAGACTCGTCAAAACAATGAGGAGGATCTGCTGAAGAGAGGCTCTGACTGAGGCCGAGATATGTATGTCTTCTTTCATCTCAGTGTTTTATTTTATTTCCACGTGGGAGTGGCCTGTTTATTGATAAGTGTTAGTGACACTTGTACTTGCAATGAAACCAGTCTATGGTGGAATAAAGCAGAAGATACGATGAATACTATGGTAGTAATAGTAAAAGCAGTAGTAGTTGTAGTAGTAATAGTAGTAGCAGTAGTAGTATAGTTATTGTCTACCCGTGGATTTGTATTCTCTCACAATTTATTTGCCATTCTAGATGAACTTGGAGAGTACTTCCTGAACCTGCGTGATCTGATTGAGTCTACACGTGTTGAGACAGGACATAAGGTAGTGTTGGTGGCCCACAGCATGGGTGCTCCCCTCGTACATTACTTCCTCAACTACCAACCTCAGTCATGGAAGGACCAGTACATAGAAACTCTCGTCACCCTCTCCGGTGCCTGGGCTGGATCAGTCAAAGCCGTCCATATTTATGCTACAGGTAGGGAACATTATTATTTTTTTTGTGCCATTTATGGATTTGGAAAAGGTGTATGACAGGGTGGATAGGGGGCACTATGGCAGATGTTGCAAATGTAGGGAATGGGAAGTAGGTTATTGAAAGCAGTGAAAAGTTTTTACGAGGATAGTGAGGCTAAGGTTAGAGTATGTAGAAGAGAGGGAGATTATTTCCCAGTAAAAGTAAGCCTTAGACAAGGATGTGTGAAGTCACCATGGTTATTCAATATATTTATAGATGGGGTTGTAAGAATCTAACACAAAATGAGAGTTGTCACAGTTGCTCTTTGCTGATGACACTGTGCTTTTGCGAGATTCTGAAGAGAAGTTGCAGAGGTTGGTGGATGAGTTTAGTAGGATATGTAAAAGAAGAAAATTAAAAGTGAATATAGGAAAGAGTAAGGTGATGAGGATAATAAAAAAAATTAGGTGATGAAAGATTGGATATCAGATTGGAGGGAGAGAGGATGGAGAAGGTGAATGTATTCAGATATTTAGGAGTGGACGTGTCAACAGATGGGTCTGTGAAGGATGAGGTGAATCATGGAATTGATGAGGGGAAAAAGGTGAGTGGTGCACTTAGGAGTCTGTGGAGACAAAGAACTTTGTCCATGGAAGCAAAGAGGGGAATGCATGAGAGTATAGTCATACTAGTGCTCTTATATGGATGTGAAATGGGTGGTGAATGTTGCAACAAGGAGAAGGCTGGAGGCAGTGAAGATGACATGTTTGAGAGCAATGTGTGGTGTGAATATAATGCAGATAATTCATAGTTTGATAATTAGGAGTAGGTATGGGATCAAAACTATTATCGAGAGGGGTGAGGAGGGGTTGTTGAGGTGGTTTGGACATATAGAGAGGATGGAACAAAATAGAATGACATCGAGAGTGTATAAATCTGCAGTGGAGGGAAGGTGGGGTTGAGGTCGGCCTAGGAAAAGTTGGAAGGAGGGGGTAAAGGAGGTTGTGTGCGAGGGGCTTGGACTTCCAGCAAGCATGTATGAGCGTGTTTGATGGGAGTGAATGGAGACAGATGATATTTAGTACTTGACGTGCTGTTGGAGTGTAAGCAATGTAACATTCATAAAGGGATTTAGGGAAACCGTTAGCACGCCTCAGGCAGGACAGTGATGGAGTGATGAAAGTTTTTCTTTTTCGGGCCACCCTGCCTTGGTGGGAGATGGCCGGTGTTTTAATATAACATAAAATGTATTATTATTATTATTATTATTATTATTAATGGAAGAAGGCATAATGATAGACAATATGGATTAAAGAATACAAGTACATGCACTGTAGGACAAATTTTCAGATTATAAT